CAAAATAGCCTGGTACTGGTATAACAATAGGCACATAGACCAATGGAATAGAATTTAGAATCCAGAAATAAACTCACATATCTGTGGTCACCTGGTTTTTGACAAGGGTGCTAAATCCATTCCATGGGGGAAAGAAGAGTCTCTTCAATAAATGGTGTTGGGAAAATTGGTTTTTCTACATGCAGAGAAATAAGACAGGATCTATGCCTCACATCGTACACAAAAACAAATTCTAAGTGGATTAAGAACCTAAATGTGCATAAACTAAAACCATAAAATTCTTAGAAGAAAATGCAGTGGCCACACTGTCAGCCCTAGCTTTTAACATGGATTATCCAATACAATAACAAAAGCACAAACAGCAAAAGACAAAATAAATAAATGGGACCTCATAAAAATTAAAAACTTGTTCATCAAAAGACTTTACCAAAAGAATGAAAAGACAAGCTATGGACTGAGAGTATATCTTCGGAAACCATATATCCAATAAGACTCTAATAACCAGTACGTAAAACTTAGACAACTTAACAACAAAAAGACAAATAACCCAGTCATAAAATGGGCAAAGGACTTTAATAGACATTTCACCAAAGTGGACATTCAGCTGGCCACCAAATGCATGAAAAGATGCTCAGCGTCATTAGCCATCAGAGAGATTCAAATCAAAACCACAATGAGATACCATTTCACTCCCACTAAGATGGCTAAGATAAAAAAATAGTAATAATAACAGATGTTGATGAGGATGTGGGGGAATTGGAACGTTTATCCATTGCTGGTGGGAAAGCAAAGTGGTACAGCTGTTGTGGAAAACAGTGTGGCAGTTCCTCAAAAACTAAAAATAGAACTATCATATGACCCAGCAATTCCACTCCTAGGTATATACCCAAAAGGCTCGAAAGCAGAGACTCAGAGACCTGAACACCAATGTTCACTGCAGCACTATTCGCAATAGCCAAAAGGTGGAACATCCTAAATGCCCATCAGCAGATGAATGGATAAACAAAATGTGGTACATACACACAATGAATGCTACTGAGCCAGTAGAAGAAATGAAGTCTTGATACATGCTACAGTATGAATGGAGCTTGAAGACATTATGCTGAGTGAAATAAATCAATCACAAAAGAACAAATATGATCTCATTTGTATAAAAAGACACGAAAGGGCAAATATACAGAAACCAAAGTTTATTAATGGTTACCAGGGGCAGGAGGCAGGGGAAAAGGGGGTTGGGGGAGGTGGTTAATGGTGATGGAAAAATTGCATTGATTAAGGGTAGGGTTGCACAGCCGATTATTGTAATTGTCAATAAGTTGTACACCTATAAAAAGTTGAATTGGCAAAAGGTGTGTGATAGATATATTTACAACAACACAGAAAACAGAGTAGCTGCTGAGGCTGCTTATGTACAGCCAAAAGATTTGGTTCCTTGGTTTGGAGGTTTAAGGTCATGGTTTCATGGGACATCTCAGTTTACTGGCCTAATAACCTGTTTAGTGTTTCTGTTCTATCTCCTAATTTGTTGCCTAGTGCCTGGAGTCCTAAAAGCTTGCAAGCGGTCATCCAAGCCACAACAATTGGTCTCTATTCACTTGGAACAACAGAGGAAGAAAGAGACGGCAATGGGAGAAAGATACGGAACGTGTGGCTAATTCTCTCCATGAAGAACTGCCTCCTTTGCCACGAGACCAGAAGACCTGGGTGGTGCCTGACTACTATTATTGAACATTTTGATCAAAGATCCCATAGAAGAATCCTAATCAAAAGAGGGGAAATGCAGAACAGAATTTCAAATTCTCATGGATGCCAGACTTTCTGGAGCCGTGGAGGGTGGATGAACCCCTGAAACTATTGCCCTGAGATAATCTTTAAACCTTAAACCAAAAATATCCTCTGAAATATTCTTAAAACCAACCAGTAGTTTAGCTTAACTAGGAGAAAATGAATGCCTTGAGCATTATGCTCTTTTAAGAACTATCTGTATGGGATCAGATTGACAACAGCAACTCAGAAGATTAGATAGGAACCTTAGAGGGCAGTGAATTTATATTAATGGGGGAGGAACAACTCAGAAAAAGAGGGTGAGAATGGTTACACAACTCGAGCAATGTAATCAATGTCACCGTCTTAGCCATCTAGTGCTGCTCTAACAGAAGTAGCACAAGTGGATGGCTTTCACAAAAAGTTCATTCTCTCACAGTCCAGTAGGCTACAAGTCCAAATTCAAGGCATCAGCTCCAAGGGAAAGCTTTCTCTGTCAGCTCTGGAGGAAGGTCCGTGTCATCAATCTTTCCTTGGTCTGGGAGCTTCTCTGCACAGGAACCTCAGGTCCAAAGGACACACTCTGCTCCCAGCACTGCTTTCTTGGTGATATGAGGTTCCCATGTGCCTCTGCTTTTATATCTCAAAAGAGATTGCCTTAAGACACTATCCAATCTTGTATAGCTCATCAGTATAACTGCCGCTAATCCATTTTATTAGATCATAGTGATTGAATTTACAACACATAAGGAAATCACATCAGATTACAAAATGGTACACAATTATACTATACTGAGAATCATGGCCCAGACAAGTTGACAGATGTTTTGGGGGGGACACAATTCAATCCGTGACAGTCACTAAATAGTACATGTAGACACTGTTGAATTGGTGTATGTTTTGCTGTGTATATTCTCAACAAAAACAACAGAATAAATAAAATTATATTTAAAAAGAGAGAGCTCAGCAAGTTTGCTGATTACAAAAATAAATATCCCAAACCACTAGATTTCCTACTTACCAGCAACACCCCGTGATAACATAAATAAAGATCCTCTGCAGAGTAAAAACTATAGGGTGCCTAAGAATAAATCTGACCAAAGTATACAACAGCTTAACGGAGAAGATTATAAAACTTACTGAAAGCATAAAGGATGATTTGAATAGGGAAAAATACCACATTCTTGATGGGAAAATTCAATTTTGAAAAGATGGCAGTTCTCTCCAAATCTATAAATTCAATCTAATTACAATAAAATCCAAAAAAGGTTTTTTGCTAAGTTTAACAAACTTACCCTAAAATTCATATGAAAGGAAAGACAACCAAGAATAGCCAAGATGGTTTTGAACAAGAGAATAAGGGAGAGCTTGCCTTACCACCTATGCAGTTTTGTTATAAAGTGTATCAATGACAACAGTGTGTATTGGTGCAGAAATAAACAGACAGATCAATAAAATAAAATAGAGAGGCTGGAAATACATGCGTGATATATCGAAACTATGTAAGACAGAGGTGGCAGTAAAGCCCACTAAGAAAATGATAACTAATTCAGTAAACTGTGTTGGGACCATTAGTTATCCAGAGAAAATGGGATCCCTTCCTCCCACCATAAACAATACGTTTTAGATGCCTTAAGATCTAAAGGTAAATAGCAATATTTTTAAATGCTTAAAAGAAAATTTAGGAGAAAATGTTAATGAAATCAGAGTAGAAAAGGAATTTGGAGAATAATGAAATCAGGGTAAGAAAAAAGTTTTTTTTTTTTTTTTTTAAACAAGACACAGAAGAATTCTGAATAGGGACACAGAGCTTCTGTTAAGGATGATGGCCAAATTTGGAAATGGATAAGGGTGATGATTGAATGACATGATGAACATAAGTTAATGTCACTGAACTGTATTTGTGAAGAATGTTGGAATGGCAGATGTTTTGCTACATATATATTTACTGCAATAAAAAAAATTTTTTTTTAATTGTGCATTCAGTGAAAGTTTACAGAGCAAATTAGATTCCCATTCGATAGTTTGTACTTGAAGTGTTTCATGGCCTTGGTTTCATTTCCCACAATGTGTCAGCACTCTCCCCATTTCTGCCCTGGTTTTCCCATTTCCTTTTGTCCTGATTTTCTACCTGTTCCTGCCTTCTCATCTTTGCCTTTGGGCAAATATTGCCCTTTTGATCTCATATAACTGATTGTTCTAATGAGCGCATTACTCTTGGGTGTATATTTTATGGGCTTGTCTATTGTTTGGCTGGAAGGAGGTCTTTGGGAATGGCTTCAATTCCAGGTCAGAAGGGTGTCTTAGGGCCATAATCTTGGGGATTCCTCCATTCTCTGTCAGACCAGTAAGTCTGGTCTTTTTTGTAAATTTGATTTTTCATTCTACATTTTTCTGCCTCTCCCTCTGGGACCCTCTGTTGTAATCCCAGTCATAGTGATTAATAGTTGTAGCCGGGCACCATCTAATTCTTCTGGTCTCAGGGGGAAAAAAAATTTTTAATTGTGCTTTAGATGAAAGTTTACAGCTCAAGTTAATTTCTTATACAAAAATTTATACACATATTGTTATGTGACATTAGTTGCAACCCCCCCAATGTGATAGCACACTCCCCCTTTCCATCTCAGGTTTCTTGTGTCCATTCAGCCAGTTCCTGTCCCTTCCTGCCTTCTCATCCAGCCTCCGGACAGGAGCCCCCCGTTTGATCTCGTGTATCTGCTTGAACTAAGAAGCACACTCTTCATGAGTATTATTTTATGTTTTATAGTCCAGTCTAATCTTTGTCTGAAGAGTGGCCTTCAGGAATGGTTTTAGTTCTGGGTTAACGCAGTATCTGGGGGCCATGGCTTAGGGGGTTCCTCCAATCTCAGACCATTAAGTCTGGTCTTTTTATGTGAATTTGAGTTCTGCTCTGTACTTTTCTCTGGCTCCGTCAGGGACTTTCTGTTATGTTCCCTGTCAGGGTGGTCACTGATGGTAGCTGGGCACCATTTAGTTCTTCTGGTCTCAGGCTGATAGAGTCTCTGGTTTACGTGGCCCTTTTGTCTCTTGGGCTAATATTTTCCTTGTGTCTTTGGTATTCTTTGCTCCAAAGTGGGTTGGGACCAATTGATGTAAAAAAATAATTTTTTAAAAACAGAAAGAAAGAAATAAAAGGATGAATCCAACAAAGCAATGGTTGAGAAAAATGAGCTTTAGTGGATTAACCAAGTGTGCACTCTGTCCCTGGTGTCTAGCTGTGGATGGAAGAGCAGGCATTGTCCACTGTGCTACAGACACACTTGCGAGAAGACCACGAGAGCATCATCCATGGGGTCTTGAACCGCCTCAGCGGCCTCAGCGAAGAGTGAGTACAGCTTCCTGAAGTTCCCGTATGATGATACTCCATTCTAGTCTTGGTGTCCTTACCTATAAGGTAGACACGTTAACCACCACTTTCCTTCCTCACAGTGCGGACAAACCAAATTTTAAGTACAAATGTGCAGTAGAGTGGTAGTAGAATGCTGTGGTTAAAAGCTCACATTTGGAGTCAGACTTAATCTGAGCAAATTACTTAACATTTCTTAGCCTCAATTTCCTCATCTATGAAGTGGGGATAGTAATTCCTTCCTCCAATTATACATATATTAGACTTTTTCACTTTGGTCCGAATGTCCCTTACATGCTGTTTTGTATTTTTATTCTTTTGTTCTCTGTGCCTCAGGATGGGTATTTTCTTTTGACCTTTTATCTTAGTCATCTAGTGCTGTTACAACAGAAATAGCACAAGTGGATGGCTTTAACAAAGAGAAATTTATTCTGTCACAGCCTAGGAGGCTAGAAGTCTGAATTCAGCGTGCTAGCTTCAAGGGAAAGCTTTCTCTCTCTGTCAGCTCTGGGGGAAGGTCCTTATTATCAATCTTCCCCTGGTTGAGGAACTTCTCTTCACAGGGACCCTGGGTCCAAAGGACCTGCTCTTCTCCTGGCTCTTGTTTCTTGGTGGTATGAGGTCCCCATGTCTCTCTCTTCACTTCTGTCTTTTATATCTCGAAAGAGATTGACTTAAGACACAACCTAATCTTGTAGATTGAGTCCTGCCTCATTAACGTAACTGCCTCTAATCCTGCCTCATTAACATCGTAGAGGTAGGATTTACAACACATAGGAAAATCACATCAGATGATAAAATGGTAGACAATCACACAGTGCTGGGAATCATGGCCTAGCCAAGTTAACACACATTTTGGGGGGTACACAATTCAATCCATGACACCTATCTTCCAGTTCATTCTCTCTCTCATCAACTATGTCTCATCTGCTATTAAACTCATCTACTGAGTTCTGAAGTTATTGTGTTTTTGTTTCTAGAATTTCCATTAGATTATTTTCATAATTTCTAGTTACCTGCTGAAATTCTTCATCTTGTCAGTTAATTTTCTTGAACATACTAATCATAATTATTTTCAAGTTCATGTCTGATTCTTCCAATATCTGATATTTTAATGGTATGTTTTTGCTGTCTTTTTTCTATTGATTTTTGGGCCATTCGTATCTGTTTACATGTCTGATTTTTTTTTTTTTTTT